ACAACATCAAGACAGAAATACTACATATATATAAATGGTAAACAAATAGGGGGAGGGTTTTCAGCTCTCAAATACCTTCCAACGCCCTATGCATGCTGGGGGAGAAGAAAAAAAGTTGTCTTCAGAAATAAAGCAAAAGCCAGAAAGGGGGGGGAAGGGTAAGGAGAGTAGTCGCATCTGCTTAATGCTTGAAACGATGGACTCTCTCTCATTATTCGTCCTCGCCTTCGGCGTCAACATCCAGTTCTTCTTCTTCATCTTCTTCTTCCTCTTCGTCTTCCTCGCCGTCTTCGTCTTCTCCATTGATGCCTTGGTCAGAAGCCTCAGCAACTTGTCCTCCGAGCTGCACACTTAGCACAAACCCATTACTTGACGGCTGAGGGGTCATGACTCGAACTTCATCTTTAGCAGGCTCTTCGTCAGCCATAGAGGTCCCAACGCTGTGATCGCCATTGGTGTCCATTTCTGTCCCTGGCGGCTTGTCTCTCCAGCCTGGTGGTAACCCAGGACCGCTGTCTGCGTTGCCGTAGTCTGACTTCTTCGTCCCTTTAGGCCACCTTCCGGGGCCGCGACCCGTGCCTCCTGTTCTTCTCCGTGATCCGCTGCTCTTAGGTCGGCTGAGAGTAGGTCGACGGCTGCTACCTCCAGCTCTCTTTGGCCGTGGCCGGGAGCTGCTACCTCCCCCTGTACGCGACCCCGAAGGTCTGCTTACGCTTTGCCGTGAACGGTCTGTGCGACGGCTGCCAGCCACAGGGGGGAAAACTTCAAAGCGGTTTGGCGGTATATCGCGATACATTGCCTTCCAGTCCTCTTCAGAGTCTACATCGTCCATGATTTCGTCTTGCGGTTCCGCATTCTCTTTATCTTCAGGCGCCGTCTTCTCCTCAATCGACAAGAGGGGCGTGAGTTCGGGATTGCTGTTGATTGAATCGCCCGTCTCTGATACAGAACCAGCTATTGATTGTGAACCATCATTCAAGTCGTCATTCATGATGATAGACTGAGTCTCTCCAATATCATCCCCACCTTCCTCGATCTTTGCTTCATCATCTTCTCGAGGTGCAATGGTATTAATAGGTGGGCCAAGCTCAAAGTTTACAGCGTTGCTGCGGCCCATCACGTATGGCGTCCATGCAAGGCATTCGGGCTTCAGCTGGACATAGCCTTTTGACTCCCACTTGGCTACATACTGCTGGCAGTATTCCAAATCGACGCGGAACGCGTATACCCTTGTGTGCGGATCTCGGACCAGCGCTCGAAGGCCTTCCAGAGCAGCAATAACATCGTCAGGCGTCATGCCCGTGTCGTCTGATATTTGCTTGATACTAAGGCCATTTTGCTTGTGCTCATCGCCTTTCAGCGTTTCCATAAAATATCGGCAAAGCCGTAAGCGCCAGTAATTCCTATAGGAAACGAGTCCCATGTCAGAAAGCGGCTTCTCGGGAGATCCCGTCTTCTCCTCTACCTTGGTGAGGAGATATGAGAAATCGATAAGTAAATTGCCGTATCCCTTTCTCTGATGGATCGGCAATGTCAAGATGCATGATACGTTGTTTTGGCTGCTCGCCCGTTTCTCTTTGGAGAAATAGCCAACGAAATGATAGCCACATTCATCGTACTCGCATAAAACGTAAAACAAAAACGGCTCCACGTCGTAATACAGTGTCTTGGATCCCAAGAAAAGCTTTGCCAAAAGGCAAAGGTTTTGGCAGTAGACTGGATTTTTCCGGCCATCGACTTCGAATACCGATACCGATCCATGCCGATATATCTCGTCTCCAGGAGGGTGTTTTGCTGCACATTTGAGCTTGTGGCGCCATGCCACGTAGTCCGAATTCATGTATTTGAGGCAGAATTCGCATATGTAGAGCACCCGGTTTCTACTATACTCGGCTGGGTACGGTGCTGCGTACCAAGTATCAATCTCCCAGCCACCAAATTCGATGCACTCGATTTGGCTGGCGTTGTCACTTGACTTCTTGGATTTGCGGATAGGCATATCTATCTCTGCCTGCATCTGCAGGACGCGGAGCCTCCATTCATCTTCCGCACTCTGTTTAGCTTGGTCGAAGCGCCTGCGATCCTCAGGCTGCGGTAGCGTTTTTGTGGTATCTGCTTCTGTTTCCGTCAGGATGCCACCGTAGGGCTTTCCTTTCATATCTTCAGTCTCCTTGTCAAACAAGGAGTAGAAGGGCGTTGAATAGAAATCTGTTGTAAATGGTGTTGGGAGCACGGGTGTTGCTGTAACAGCTCCAGAGTTGGGGCGTACAGCTGATGGTGCGACTGGTGTGCGTGGTGCCCGTCCGTTTGCTCCAGACCTTCTTCTTTCTCTGCGCCTGCGCGAGAGAATTTCTTTGAGATTTCCAGGCCGCACGCGCATAGTCACAACAAGTGATCCTCGCGACTTCTTATCAATGACGACCAGAGACGGGCGAGTAACTTTTAATCGAACCGCACGTGAGCTTCCCCTAGTTGGCTCTGCCGATTTACCATCAGTTTCTTCATTAGCAGACATGCCATCGGTCGAAAGGCCGCGTCGTCGTCTCCTCAGAGCGATAGTGGCCTCCTCAGGCTCTACAGACGATGTCTTTCTCTTTCTCAGCGCGCGAGGCCCATCCGAGACATCCCCGGCGGCCGTGTGGTCGTTGGGAGTAGATCGGGCTCCTGCATCATCTTGCATCTGACGTCTAGGGGACAATTCGGGAGGGGCGTCTGAAAGCTGCGATTCGGGCCTAGCCTGGCCATTGATGCTAGGATCCTTCTCTGGTTCTTCGGGTTCATCTTCCTCCTGGTCAGAGCCACCATTATCACATTCGGGACATTTCCAGCGCTTTGAATCTTTTCCCGAGTCAGCAAGATCTCGTAGAATGTATGTATATGGCGTGACTTACTGTTATGTTCGCTCATTGCCGCTGCATCTCTTGCGCATTGCTGGTGGGCTAGAAACTGTTAGCAGATTTCTACCGTCGTGTGCTTTGGCTTTTGGTAGACTAACCATTGTCACCGCACCGAGAACAAGACAGAAACGTCTCAAAATCCTCACTCGGGTCGTTTTCTTCGTCTTGTTTGCAAAACATGCAAGTATTCGACGGGCCCTCGTTCTCTGAATCCTCATCCCCTTCTACCTCTCCAGCATCTTCCCACGCAGGCTCCTCATCTGAATCATCTTCAGCATTACTAAGAACATCTGAATCGTCGCTCTCTGCGTCATCTTCGCCATCCTCGTCCTCCTCGTCCTCGTCATCGGTATCGCCTGGTTTGATCTTGACCGCGCCAACCCCTTCATCGCCATCTTCTTCACCGTCTGCATCATCGTCCTCGTCGTCGTTCAGTTCGAGAGGACGGCTGTTGCTAACCACGATTTGTTGGTCCACGAGCTCGTTATAGTCCTCCCCCTCCGCATCTTGATCCATTTCGTCGTCAATCTCCTCTCCGGAAGCATCACGATCGCTGAGCTCCTCGTCCTCGTCTTCGTCCATATCCATGCTATTGCTGCCGTCTAGCCTATCTTTGGCAGAGATGACTATGGTATGAGTCTTTAAGGGCGCAGGGGTGAGCGCATCCTCGCCAGTGGTGTCTGCTGTCTCGTATTCAGCATCTTCCGAGAGCCTGACGCTCTGCTGCAGCTCCTCCTCCATCGACTGCGCACTCGCCATAGTTATCGCTGCTTGTTGAGACTCGTAGAGTGTGGATATGGTCTTGACGCTGGCATATCGATCGAGAGCCCTGTAAATACTCGAGGCTGATATCAGGTGGCATGCATGGCGATCTCTTGGATGCGCTTCCTAACGTGGAAAACTCGCTAATCGCAGCTGCTATCGTGTAAGCTCTATGTAAGCATCTGAAAGAGGCAAACAATCCTCCTTACCAAATTGTACGTAACTGTAGCGGCTTATGTTTATTGCCTGCTCTTGTTGGAGATGCGACAACAGCCTCAGTCGCGTTCTCCAAACTTGCATGTCCTGAAGTCGCGGACGCAGGAGGCACAGTGCGTGCGCATTCAGTTATCGCGTTTCCCCGCCAATATTCCGGCGGCTCACTGTGTGAGACAATAACGCGCTAACTATGCGTTGGTGCAGGGATACGACCTAGCTGGAGCCTCAGGCATCACTTCGACGGCTCCAATTGGAGCTTTGCCCACTGACGTGCAGGCTCAGTATCAAGAACGAGGCTCGGCAGACTCGAGATATTGCGACGAACTTGAGCAGGGCTCTTACAATTGCCGAAAGCCCAATTTAATTTTTCGGATTCTTCCTCAGTCGACAGCCGAACGGAAGACCGTCACGGCGGCGAATTCGCAATCATGCCTGTTCCTTTCGAAACCCTGCTGCCATACGGCATCATGATTGTCGTATGTGCTATACCGAACAAGACTTCACCACATGGGAACACGAGGTAGCTCACAGTTTGTTACTTAGATGTTTGGCGCCACAGGTACCGGATTGGCTGCCTTCAAGACATGGCAGAACGAGGGCAAGCGACCGCGCTATTCATTGGATCAGTGGGATAGAGTTAGTCACCTTCCGAGCAGAGAATGCGGCCATTTACATTCAGTAGCTAACCGTTGTCTATAGCAAAGTAAGAGCCTTTTCGACAAACGAATCCTTTCGCGCAATTTTCGATCGATTTAGACGCTAACTTGCATTCAAAGTGATGGACCGAGACCGCCGACTTACAGGAACATTGAGAGGACAGTCAGACAACCCACAAGCGCCTTTAGGATTTGAATTCACCAATGGATGGAAGGTAATATCACTTCCTATATATAACGCCTTCTTTCACGGACAAGTGCTGATACAGTATGCAGCTGGAGAAGCGATTTACTTAAAGGACCACGGGTACAATCGGAATTATTAGAAGAGGGGGCCTCGACCTCAAAGTCCAAACAAAACAGAGTGTATATATACCAGGCAGAAACTCGGCTTCGCTAAAGTAGTCAGCACTATCTACATGGCCGTCCTAGTACACGTTGATCAAAATTCTATTACTATTAACAAAAGCTATCCCTCTATTGAGATCTCTGGTCTATTCTTGTTGAGACCTTCCAGCAAAGTACAAGCCTGGCACATTGCTTGGCTGGACATGTAGCCGCATTTGACGCACTTCCCAAGTGTTTGCAGTTGAACAGGGCCAGGCTCCTTTGCCCGACGCTGCCGAACAGGAAGCTTTACCACATCGTCACTCTCAATGACCTTGGGCGCGCCATTCGATGTGATCTCAGTCTCAAGCCCGTTGGCTGCGGGCTGCTTCTTGAGATTTGCTTCCATTTGCGCCAAGTCATTCCCTGATGTCTTTGCATCGGCAGATCCACAACCACCCATCCCCTCGCCTTCGTCGCAAGCGCAAGCCCCTTGTCCTTTATCTGGTGTGAGCCGGGCCATGTCTTCGCCGCTCCGAACAATGTCCAATATGGCGCTCGGCCGCACCTTTTCCAAGTTCTTGATGAGGCTTCGTGCAGTTCCTCGGAATGCCTCGGGACTGTAGATGCACTCCGTACTAAAATAATCCAGCTTCTTGTGGTGCGCATAAAGTACAATCTCCTTTTCGTAGGCATACTTTAGAGGCTTACTTCGCTTTACATCGTTTAATGAGCCACCAGTGACTATACTGGTGCTGCGAGACAGTCGTGGTAAATCTCCTCGAAGAAGATTCATGAGGACCGTCTCCGCGACATCATCCGCATTGTGGCCAGTGACAACATGCTTGATTTCCAGGGTTTTTGCACCCCTGTCCAGCGCCTGCCGGCGAAACACGCCGCAGTACGTGCAATTACCCTTTTTTCCAATAGTCTGTACGACTTGGTCCATGGTCCAGCCATAAAGCTCATCGTATCCCACAATCTTCAAGGGCATATCGTACTGAACTGCGTTTCGTTTCACCGTTTCCAGGGAGTCATCTCTATAGCCTTTGATTCCTTCGTCTATACTGAGAAGCACGAGATCCAGCTCATAGTTGTGGCGCTCGTTAAGAGTCTTTAGTACCGATGCCAGGACTGTTGAATCCTTGCCTCCTGATGCTCCGATGGCGACTTTTTCTCCGGGGTAGAACAGCTTGGATGAGACGATGGTGTGGTGGACTTCGTCCTCAAAGACGGCGATGAAGCAATCGCGACATAGTTTGTGGTGGTTCTTGGGCCTCTTGACTACAGCCTTGTTCGCTTGGCAGCGGACACATGTGGTAGGCGGCATCTCGAGATATCTATAGATGAAATGATTTGAATGTAGTATGGAAACCGAGTCTGAGTCTGAGTCTGAGCCAGGGTCTGGTAAGGTAGCCGATTTCTGTTTGCCGTTCAAATGAGGAGCAGAAAGAAGGGTATCAGAGGGTATCTCGGTTCGGAAAGGTCAAGGAAATGGTCTTGAAGTAATATATATGTGAGAGAAAAGCAAGGTCAAGCAATATCATTAATCGTACTTCATGAGTCGCCAACATATTTACATCTGATGAATCATAGCGCCTGTAATTCTGGGGTACTTAGATACGCCTCCAAGGAAACTTTTTTGGCAATCGATAAGGTCACGTGCTTCCACGCCGCCAAAGGCACAAGTCAAAGCCTGCTAGACGACCCCACATCTGGGCGGACGCTGAAGCCCTAATTTTCCGCCCACCACATGGTCCAACTTTTCTCTCGACTTTTCTTTGCAACCCATCCCGCTCCGGCATCGAAATTTTGTTCAACATCGAACATTCGCCCATCGCCCGATAATCAAGATGGTAAGTTGAACACAGTCTCACCAAAGACTCTAATGGCCACAGTTCATGTGTGAGTCAAATGCGCGAAAGCGCAATTGATACAACGGCGGTTTTGCTTTTTTTCCTCTGCTGAAAATTGCAATCAACCCGTTGAAACATTGCCGCCCCGAATGTTCACTTCATTGTGATACTGAAGGGGTGAAGACTTGGCTGGAGACGCTGCAGTGTGCCGAAATATGCCACAATGCGTTCTCGTTAGAGTTCAGAGAAGACTTTTTGGCTTGAGCCCCTCGCTGATGTCTTCTTTTCTCAATGACAGCCTCCCAAATCTGGCAAGAAGGTCGCCCCTGCTCCTTTCCCTCAGAGCAAGGCTGGTAAGAAGGGACCCAAGGTTAGTAACAAACATCAAGAAATTGAATCTTCCCCATCCCGGTGAAAATTCTGTCGAGATATCTAACAAAGTGCTGCAGAACCCTCTTATCGAGAAGCGCCCCCGCAACTATGGCATTGGCCAGGACATCCAGCCCAAGCGAAACCTTTCTCGCATGGTAAAGTGGCCTGAGTATGTCCGCCTCCAGCGCCAGCGCAAGATCCTCCGCCTGCGTCTCAAGGTCCCCCCCTCTCTGGCCCAGTTCCAGCACGTCCTTGACCGCAACACCGCCGCCCAGGCTTTCAAGCTCCTCAACAAGTACCGCCCTGAGACCAAGGTCGAGAAGAAGGAGCGTCTCCTGAAGGAGGCTACCGCCGTCAAGGAGGGCAAGAAGAAGGAGGATGTCTCCAAGAAGCCCTACACCGTCAAGTACGGTCTCAACCACGTCGTTGGCCTGATTGAGAACAAGAAGGCTTCCCTGGTCCTCATCCCCAACGATGTTGACCCCATTGAGTTGGTTGTCTTCCTTCCTTCTCTCTGCAAGAAGATGGGTATCCCCTACGCCATCATCAAGGGCAAGGCCCGTCTCGGCACTGTCGTCCACAAGAAGGTTAGTTTTGAACCATGGCATATCATGTAAGCAATTGAGCAACTGTGTACTAATTCAATTGGTAGACCGCTGCTGTCCTGGCCCTCACCGAGGTCCGCTCCGAGGACAAGAACGAGCTCTCCAAGCTCGTCTCTGCCGTCAAGGACGGCTACATGGAGAAGCACGAGCAGTCCCGCCGACAGTGGGGCGGTGGCATCATGGGTGCCAAGGCTCAGATGCGCATCATCAAGAAGCAGAAGGCTATTGAGGCTGCCACCAAGATTTAAGCTTTCTTCTAATACCCGGGTTGCATTTGGGATTTAAGGGATTATCATCGGTGTTTAAGGATTCAGGGCATGGCAAAAAATGAATGAATTTCCAGCACAGTTGTGTATCCCAAATATGACCGTTTTACACACATGTGAAAGGTGATACGAGTGAATTCGCTATAAAGTGATTACGTTGGAATTAGTGTAAGCTTGCGCAGTCATTCTTGGCTGAGTCAGCTCCAACTGCCCTTGACTGTTTCTTTTCGGAATTCAGAGTAATAATCCATGGTTCCGCATCTAGACATTTCTGGCGAGAATGAAAAGGGGCAATGCAAGTTATCTCTTGCAGAGTTCCATCTTAGATAGGGGCGTTCCCAGCAGAGTTCAATGACTCCCGTCGATATCAATATTGGTTTACATGACATCGACACATGCTCCCTGCTTGGGTAAGATTAACAGCAATGGTTGACTATTCCATTCGATAGGAGCCACTGAGCCAAGGCTTTGAACGGCTGCCTACATGGCCAGTAGGGAAGAACCAAGGACGGTCTTGGTAAGCATCTTGATAATCCATGCCCATAAAGCTCGGCAATGTGACGATTTCAGGTCGGTCCGCAACTACTATGAGCTAAAATGGCCGTCTCGCGTGCTTCGTTCGTCCAGCAGTTCGGCTATGATCTCTTAACCGATGGTAAGGTCCTGGCCCCATCTGAGCATGAGAGCGCTCGAATTACCCATCCTGGCAAGAGAAACGCCATGGCGGTTAGAATGCCTCACGAAAAGGGCAACAATAGAGAGTACAACCATTGAGGACCTGATTTGGAAAGCGAAGGATCAGTAGAAAGAGAAGAAAATGCGAAGCTAGCGCTCGTAATTTCTGCAGCGGTACTCATAGCCACACGCACCGGGAGGGCCATCCGGACCTGAAAGCCAAGCCAGTTATGAGAGGAGAGAAAAATAAGAAGTGGACTCTTGGAAAAGAGATATCCACGAGTATACGAAGCGAAGCCACAGGCTAACGCAATTTGATGAAGCTCCCGACGACAGTGGCTTGTATGTACACACAGAGTAACAGACTGGAGAACGTCGAACGATGCTCTGGGGGCCAAGATATGGCACTTGGGAAGTACTAAAGATGAGTTGACAAGGGCATCTGTCAAGAGGTTTGCTTCTCGCGGCAAACTAAGATACCTAGTAGCAGTCCCACAAATCGGCGACAGTGTTTTTAATACTGTACATGTACCTGACAGGCCTCAGGCAAGTACCAGCTCCATCTCCAGGGACGAGGACTTCCAAATGGGTCCCAAAATGCCGCGAGATGGGTCAAGCAGCTACCTAGCCGCGCCGTCCCACTTGGGGCGATGGGGAATAGGCTCGTTTTTAGACATATCGGCCAGCATTGTACCTGGCGGACGCAGCAGCAGGGCTCTGAATTGGGCGATTTCAAAATGCACGTCCTCGCCCTTCGGCCACATGTCCCCCTTGAATGCGCAGCTTTTCCGGGGATAAGAGGGAGAGAGGGCGAGGGAGGGACCAAAAGGGCGCAGCTGGAAACATGACCAAGTGTTCGGTAGCCGGCGCGGCTGTAGGATTCTTGGTCCATGGACTCGCATTTATTAGAGAATCGGCTGGCAATCATTGCCTGTTGCGCATTGACTGACATCGAACGATCCATGCAGGAAAACGAGCAGGGAGCTGGCATCTGGACCTTATCAAACTGACAGGTCTGATATCAGTACGAAAAACAAAGAAATATTGATTCTGGCAATTTAAACAATTCAATGCAAGACAAAACAGAAAAACAACGAGGAAAAACAACGACGCAATCCCAATTTCCGGTGCTAGCCTTTTTGCAATGCATATAACCTGTTGACTGGGTAGTGCAGTACCACTTACTCTTTCAGTCATTGGCATAAGAAGAGCTGCACGGATCCTTACCCGAAGGAGAGGTGCAGTGCAGTCTCCCTTGGACTCGGAGCAAGCTTGTAGGATCCATAAGGTGCTGACCACCGGAGCACCGATGCAACCACAGAAAGGTTTTGAAGGTCCGGATATGGATACACGTTACTGCACTAGGTCCCTAGCAGCAAGAAGAACTGCATCGGCTTTGCAGCGCGGCCGAGAGCAAAAAGAAAAGGAAAAGTGGAAGAATGTCTCGGACAAAACCGTATGATGGAAGAATCGCAAGACTGCGGAGTACCTACCTAGTGTTGGATTAGCATACTATAGTACCCTTATTTTCTCGGATTTTCTCTGCTATCGTCTTAATAACGCATTCTCCTTGTCTGCCCAACTTGTTAGGGCCCTGTTTGAATCCCGACTATCAGGTCTACCAATTTCCGGGTGAGGTAACACAGATCAACACCAACAACTCTGTGGAGACCAGAGCAGGACCACAAGCAATTCAGAGTTGATGCAACAACACCAACTTGGTACAAGTATGCAACGCAACCCAAGACATGCCTACCAGGCTCGCCCCCACTAGTGTTTTATGTTTCTCTCTCTTTCTTTACCAAGAACCCTTGCGGCCGAGAAGAAACAAAACAGCAGCCGAAACCACAGTCTGGAGCGAAAAGCTAACGTATCAGACTGTCGTTTTTTTCGACCTGCAGGGATTCTCCAAACTTTAAGACGTTTCTGACCGTTACATCACGGAAGTTTTTGAGGAAGAGAAGCGAGCAGAGCGAAACAAAAAGAAAAAAGGAAGACCCCAAGTATAGAGAAGGAAGACAGACAGAAAGGCTGTTGCATACCAACAAACAATGGCCATCAGCGCCGACAGCCCCAATCCCCCTGCGGCTGCCAGCAGCAGCGCCGGCAAGCCGCCAGTCCTCATCATTGGCGCAGGCGTCAGCGGCCTGCTGCTCGCCCAGCATCTCAAACGTGAAGGCGTGCCCTTCCGCGTCTTCGAGCGCGATGGCGATTTGGCGACCCGTGGCGCTGGCTGGGGTCTGACGTTGCACTGGTCGCTGGCAGCGCTGCAGAGCCTGTTGCCGGCAGGCCTGGCCGAGCGCATCTGCGACGAGTCCAGCGTCGACCGTTGGGCGGATCGGCGAGGCGAGCTGTCGAGATTTCCCTTCTTTAATCTGGAGAGTGGAGAGCTGAAGACGCAGACGCCTGGAGCGGTGAAGAGTGCGCGGGTGAGAGTCACACGGGAGAGGCTGAGGAAATTATTGGCGGAGGGCATTGATATCGAGGTGAGGCTGGCTCTTTCCTTTCTTACATTGAGCTGCACAAAAGGCCATCGCACCTTCCACTGCCCACGTAGAGAAAGCTCTGTTATCAAAGCTCTTTGTGTTGATTTGTTTCTTCTTCTTCTTCTTCTTCTTGTTGTTTCTTTTTCTGAGCCACCATCTCTCATCCTTTTATGAGACCTTCCGCTAACACATTCATTTCTTCAAGTGGGGGAGATCTCTCCGCGAATTCACAACCAACAACGACGGCACCGTCAACGCCATCTTCGACGACGGCGCATCATGCACCGGCACGCTGTTGGTGGCGTGCGATGGAGGCCAGTCCCGTGTGCGCCGTGTCTTGTTCCCGGACGAGTCCAAGCTCACGATGCAGCTGCCTGTGCGAACGATGGGCGTTAAGATCTCATTAACGGCGGAGCAGATCGAGCCAATCCGCAAACTAGATCTCTTCTTCCTCCAGGGCGGATCACCTCAGAACAATTCGTTCATGTACATCAGCGGTGCGTAGCGCAGAAAAAAAAATACCCATCCCCTTCCCCTGTCCCTTTTCCTTTCTATATGCTTTTAACCTAATTCTGCACTGCCATTGCTTGCATTGCCCATCATTTTGGTTCTGACATCTGCGGGCGCTGGTTCATGTCGATCTTTTTTTTTCCTTGGTGCCCTTTTTAGGGCTCCGACCCGCCTGAGTTTTCTTTGCTCTGTGTGGAGCTCCGAAGCCAAGTACCCATCGCGAGGTACACAAGCAGTGGAATAAGCCTCGGGAGCGGCGCCCGCCGTCGCGGATCCGGCGATCGCATCGCCTCCCGCAGCGGCACTGCAAGATTCTAAAAAGGCATTTTGATGAGAAGTGACAAAACATCGCAACCAAAAGAATCGCATCCAAGCACTGCCAATCCCGCACATCAACAGTTTGCCTACCATTCGTACTGACGCATTGCAGTCCTTGATAGTCCCGGAAACCAGACCGACAGCAACCCGGATGTCTTCCTCTGCCAAATGCATCTGTCGTGGCCGTACCACCCGAGCTGTGGAGCCCTGATCGATGTGCCGGCGACCAACGAAGAGCGGTACGAGCTGGTGGTCTCCTTCGCAAAGACTTGGGCCGAGCCTTTCCGCTCTTTCGCCCTCAACAACGTACATCCAGATACTCCCATTAAGCGGCTGGATGTACTGGATTGGGCGCCGCCCATTGGACTGCGTTCAAAGGGCCAGGCAGTGCTGATGGGCGATGCATTTCATCTTATGTCCATGTGTAAGTGCTCCTCTTTTTTGCGCCATTGGAGATTGCCTGTGTCTTTGCTGTTCTCTTTTCGGCTCAGATCCAACCTCTTCCCTTTCCCATTGCGCAATGCAGCCGCTTTGCCCTGCACTTACAATACAAGTTTTCGCTTGCTCACTCATTGTTCCTTTATTCTAGACCGCGGTGAGGGCGCAAATCACGCCATTGTCGATGTCCTCGACTTCGCGACACACGTCGTTCCAATGCTGGCGCCTTTCTCGCTACAACACGCCCATCAGGGTGCAACACAGGCCCAAGATCCCGCGCAGGCTCTGCGCCAGGCGCTAGATCGCTATGAAGACGCCGTCGTCTCCCGTTCGCGGCCAGGGGTTCTGGCCTCGCGCAGGGCGTGTTTAGACGCGCACGCTTATTCTAGGCTTTTTGGAGAGGGAGCTGCGGCTGGCGGCATCAGCCCACTACTGAGCAAGCGCGAGATGGCGCTCCAATTCGACGATGAGTCGATGGAGCTGATGGGCCAGTAGACAATACGTGGACTACAAACCTTCAGGTCCCCCTGATTAATGGAGCACGATTGGTATATTACTAGTACAAAGTTCATCATTCGAGCGAATAATACGCAAATACGGTACAGCCAATCACCCCGCCCGCTAGTCCTCGTTCTAATCGCAATGTCTAAATTAGCACAGACAGCCATAAGTGAGCTGTTTACCATCGAATCGTGCTGCGAAGTACCCGTAACATGCGTACTTGCATTGACTTTGGCCCCCAAACAAGGAACCCTCAGCTGGCCCGGTCAAAAGCCAATGGGCCTCGTTCCCGGACCTTTATCCAAGCAAACACACTGCGCGAACTAGTCTCGGAGAAGGTAGCCATATATTAAAATCCCCACTTGCTTGTCGTACCATCAAGACAACAAACAACCGATCACACATAAATTAATTAATCAGTCCCTGCACAACCGCAGCAACCAGGTCTTTGTCAGAAAAATACTATAGGCCAGGATCTTACATCGCCTCGGTAAACTGGCGAGAGCGAGGAAAAAAGCAAATAATGTATCCACTTCGCTAGGTTGGAGCAAAGTCTAGATCCCCCTATGCAAGAAAGCTCCTCCGGCACAATGATCCGAAACGAGGAATGTAAACCCCCCTACTTTACAAGGGAAAAGAAAGGAAAGATTACTCTTCATATGAGAGAAGGTGACCAGGTAAATGGTCTTTCATTGGCTTTCTTTCCGCTCCGGTTATTAGACTTCTCCCTTCTGTTGTCTCCCTTGTAGTGCGTACGTATGTTGGTGTTAGCGGAATAAGCCGTCGCTCCTTTCGCTCCTTTGTCTTATTGTAGTAAAGTCATCCCTCCAGTTTCTTTCCTTTTTCCCTCGAGACCTGAAGCTGCAAAGGTTTCCAAATACTGCTGGCGTTTATGCGTTCATGGTGTTTCCGTAGAATGTACAAGTAATTGTTTAGGTGCCTTATTCTAGTAAAAAAAAAAAAGAGGAAAAAAAGGAGAAAAAAAAGAAAGAAAGGAGACAAAAAAAGAAGTAGTAATTCTGAAGAGAACACAGTGCCAAATCATTCTTTCTTTGAACGCTGCCATGACAAAAAAGCTCAGTAGTTCGCCTAAGAAACCAATAATACACGCTGTCGTGGCTATTCTAAACCCATAGCTCCATGATAGCCCTTTTTATTTTGGCGGCGTACCTCTGGCCCCTACTAAACTCCACGCGAAAATGATAGAAAAGAAGTCCAAAATCGTCAAAAATACATACAAAGCATCAAACGTCCCATGATGTAGAAGCAAGAAATAATGCAATATCGACAAGAATACAAAACAAAGTATATCTGTAGCAGACCAAACAAGAAAAGAAAACAAAGGAGGTGTAACAACAAACAAACTGGAATTCAAATATCCCTATTTTATACGCTATCTTCAAAGCTGTCGTTCCGCCGCCTAGGTTGGCCGCGCTCCTCGTCGACTTGCACGCTGTATGTAATAGACTTCATGATGCCAGCTCCTTGAAGTATGTTTTCTTCGCTCGAAGACTTGACTGCGGTCAAGGCGCTCTTGTCATGATGGTCTTCACGGCTGTGGCTCACATCGCTGAGTTTGAAATGCTCGCCCTTTGCGCCTCGACTGTGCTGATGAGATGATCCGTTATTGTATGAATTCTTTGTTCGGTACTCCTTGGCTTTTCTCATAAAGACCGGGGCCAAGAACGGCAGGGATGAAACCATGTTCTAGAGAAACCTGTTAGATTTGCTCTTTTAGCATTATTACTAGAGAAATTACTTACGCCGACGTTGAATTCAATGGTACCCCATAGAATCAGCATTGTGGAATTGCCGTCACCAGTCGAGATTCGGTTGATCTGGGTATATCTCAAGATGGAGCAAATCGTCGTGAACAGGCCAAGTAAAAAGATACCGATCAGACCAAGTTTCTTGGCCATTCGGATGTTAAGCCTAAACAAGACTGGCAGGGGAAGAATGGCAACGACGATGTCGGAAACAATGGTGACGACAGCATAGGCTGTAAAAGAAGGTCCAGGAGCCAAGCAAGTTCCGTTGATATGGGGGTTCCATGATCTTTGAACTGGGTTACAGGCGAACACCAGGGATAGGGCACAGCCCAAGTGCCCTAGAAAGACCAGTGCGATGGTGGCAAAGACAACATAGCGATAGGTCTTTTGGTCCGTTCCCTTGAGAAGTCGCAGATAACTGATGAGGAGTGCAATCTTGAAAAAGCTTATTCCAATTTGATAAATGGGACGTCCCGCAAAGTTGACCTTGGTGTAAGCGTCGAGACTGGCGGGGGGTCTATCCGCAATAGGTAGTCCCAGGCCGTATCTTGTTTCTGTGCGACGCGTTAATATTCGTCTCCTTGAAATTGGCAGACGGTATGGAGTGGGATTGACGTACGAACAATGCAGAGGATGGAGTAAATGAGAGCAAATACAACGGATAAGGCGGACATCCAATCATCACTAGCAAGACCACGCGCGGCGAAGCGAATGTAAAGACGGGCGCCGACAGTCAACATGGAAAGAACCGAAAGGACGACGCAAATGATGATGATTGTCGGATATTGGGACTCGTCGTTTACCGCCTCGGAGGCGTGCAATACCCAACCCATGATGAAAAGTAGTACTTGTCTTATATGTTGGTGGGTTGAGCCGAGCAGAAGATGTTGTTCGTTGTTCCTTGTTGGTGTTGGTTACAAGGCGCCTCCCAGCGGTGGAAGAAGCGCGGCGACGGGATGAGGGTGAAAAAAGCAGGACGTGTATATACTGCCCACAATGTGTATAAAGTAGACAAACACTGCAATCAATTGCACATTGCAACTCCAAAATCAAGAAAAGAAAAAAGAGAGGATCAGTATAAGCGGGACTGAAGGCAGAAGCGGCCCCCAAAGGAATTATAAGAGACAGAAATGAAAGTATCCAAGGGCAAGGTCGAGAAAGGTGTCGGACGATATAGGTAGGTAGATGGATCCAGGCCTAGTAGACGCGAGGCATGTCTTGGATAGGGTTTCTTCTTCTTTCGGTCAGCATTAAGGTCAGACACAGAAAGCACCCTGAACCCCTTCGGGATTGCTCGTCTTGCCAAATTTTCCGCCTCAATGTGACCTTGTCGGACGAATACCGTGCTTCCGTGTATTTATCCGTATCTCTAACCCCAAGATAATGGTCTCCGATGGCCAGGCGTGGCATTAACGGTTGCAGGTGCTCCGTGTTGGCTCTTGCATAAGATACTAGTCGAACTTGGGCAGTATGACGACCTCCAGAGCGCAGGGACTGGACACATTCGACCGAGTACAGCTGGGGCCTGTCCAAAAGGGAGCGAGTCGCGATGGGTATTGGAACCAATCGTGCCGAAAATTTGCCCTGCATCCCCTGCAACGATGCTACGTATTTGGACTGTTTTGCCTTTGGGGGATCCGTGCCTTGGGAGGCAATGCTACGACACCGTCTGCACATGAAATTAGCAACAGCTTGGTTCTGTTCTCTCCCTGGGATTGGCTTGAGAGCCATTTCGTACTCCGTTTCTTCTCCGCAATAGCGTAATAGGCTGTAAAAGGGCTCATGCTGCCTGGATACTATTCATCATTTCGTATACAAGTACTTGTAGTTAGCCCACGCTGTCTGTACCCGTTAGCACAAGGGCAGTATTACTCTCAAGCGCAGGTATGGACATGACATCCTTGACCTCATGGCGAGCAGGGGAGCGGATGCGCGGTAGCACTACCACCCCTGCCACCGGACAGTACCCAGCCGGCCTGGGTTGTGTACATGTCAAGGCAGTCGACGGCACTGTGGCACTGTGAAGCCGTGGCTTGGGCCGGCGTGCGGTTGGCGTAGCGATCTTCGCCAGTAAAAAGGCTCTCTGAAGCTGGCGCTCTGCAGATTGGATCTGGCGGCCACTAACGCCAGTAGGCTCCCGCTCAACCATCGGTCTATCAGCCGCCGGGGAACGGGATTCGAGCAGCCTGTCCGGACGGTGGACTGTGCGTGTCTCGGCGAAGGAATCGTGGCAGCAGTAGCACCTCCAAGCAGCTGCTTCGATGCAGTAGCGTCGGTCTGATGTTTGCTATACGTTTGAGACAGGCTATTAATGGGGGCGGGCTCAATGCAGTCCGAGACATTGTGCGCCAAGTTGTAGCTGTCAAGGAATGGTACCATTGCAAGTCATTTGTGCTCGGCTGATCAAGTCAACAAGAACATGAAGAGATTTTCTTCATGGTAGCTCTGCTGGCACGCCATATTTGGCTCAAAGTGCGCCGCTAAGAGATCCGCTAGGTCTGGCTGAGCACATCTTTGTCACTAGCCAAGCAGATCACTGGGGCGATTTGGCGGACCCGAGACGGCCGCACAATTTGACAGCTTGGAGGCCCTAATCGCCGTGAGCCTCCAGGTGGTGACAGTAACAGAGAAGCAGATGGAAATGTGGCTTGCAGAATGACCTGCGCTATTACCATCAGCCATCGGCGCAGGGGCCCGCCGGAGGCAGAGAAAGAGGAAAAACAGATCGTTAGCACAGGTGGCCGGCGCAGATTGAGGTCCAAGCTCGAATCAAGTGTTAGAGGATGGGGGGCGGTAGAAAAGAAAAGACTGTGAAGAGGCCAGTTGAAGCAGAAAATCGTCTGTACGCAAGAATAGCGTAGCAGCGTCTCATTGCTCTCGCTACTTCCAATGCCACAGATAGAGGATGAGGCAGGTACATTAGTGGCTTCTTCTAAATAAGAAGGAACAGCAGCTTAGCCAATTACCAGCAAGCAGTTATAAGTAGTACTAGGTAATTCTGCGAGATACGGGCAATGCAATCCGCCATGATACAAAAAAGCAAAGAGGGTTGATAGAACAAAACCGCACAAATGAGTATTAGCAACGGCCCTCAAGCTGTGGGCGATCTAAACGAATCGGTAGCAATGCCCCGGCGAGAGGACGCAGCACGTCGTTTATCAGAGGCACGGAGCTCATCCGAGGCCGTATGGACCTGGCACTCAACAGGTTTACCACTGCATACAAGCCTCTGAGGCGATGACCTCAGCTCTCCGGATAGATACATCACTGGTGTTTTTGTGTGCATACTCTGGCACAACTGCTTTCTGCCCTAGGGTTTCTAACCGAGCATCTTCTCCCTGCGTCTGTATCATACCGTACGGGCGAATAACTAGTATGTACTGCAAAGAGAACGCAGGGGACTGGGTGACATACATGATACATGCAATGCGCGACGCAGTACCTGCTTAAACGAAGTATCAGGTGCGTCTGCAGACCAAACCACGCGAGGTGGAGTTACCTGCCCATGGGAATGGAGTGCGCAGAAGATTCAAGGACGAGTACCGACTTCTCAGGCTTGGAGGCACTGCTTTGTGGTGTTTCCTCAAGATTTGTAAGGAGTGCTCCGTGCAAGAACTAGCCCGGGAACAGTCGTATGATTTTACGGAGTAGTGCTGTTACAGACACAGAGCCTGCAGAAAAAGAAAAGAAACCTGGCTGCAGCATCTGGCTTGTGATAATGGCGGCCGATTGGGGCCCCTCTCCAGCCGCAAAGCGGGTCGAAGCGGTGGTGGGGGACTAGTGCTGAGCTCCAGGGAGCACTTGCCGTAGTGCACAGTACCCGCTAGAAGGCAATTAGCAGGCCCTGACAGTGCCAATAGAGGGGCACGCATGGCAGTACGAGCTACTAGTAGTACTACAGGTACCTCTTCCAGTACCTACCTACCTTACCTACTAAGTATGGAGCTCAAGCTGGGACCGAGCTGCGGTCGAACTGCCGGGCCCCGGTTCTCGTCTCTGGCCACGAATTATGGAGCGATCAATGCTTCGGGACGGGACCTTTTTTCTTTGCCTTTGTTTGGCCGTTGTCACAGTCGATCAATCAACGTTACCTGGGCGAGTTTCCCCTGGGCGCCGAGGATCCCCTTTGGTTCAAGCTCAATGGCATTTTGCAGCGAAAAGTTGCTCCGCCAAACGAACTAGAGAGATGCAGGGCCAACGCTCGTACGAGGCCACGTACAGTAGAGCACCTACAGCAGACACACTTGCACGAGATGAGGATAAACTCTGCGTTAAACGCACCGCTATACGCCTGGCCCTGCCAATCCGTCGGAAACGCCTTGCCCCTTGGCCAATATTGGGCCAGCGTGGCTGCATTCAGCACACCACCAGCGAGCGCGGCACCTCTTCCGCTGGCAGACTCGCCTACTGCAGGACCAGCAATGGCTACACGACCTGCCTGTTCTCGCCAGACCCTGCAATATTCGGCCTTGGCCACTCGGAGAGCGAGCCCTGGCTCTCTGGCCCTTGAGCTGGCGAACTGGTGGCTATGAAGTGGGGGAGTTGGCCCTGGGGAGCTGACCCTGCCGCCGCGTATCTTGTGCTCGTCCAACAACATCGCGGCATTGAGAGCCTCCGGAGATTTGATCTGCCAGCAAAAGATGGGACATTGGACGACGACTGCCGCGGCGACCCTTCTGGACTGGCTGCTTGTTGCTCCTGGCACCACTTTGACAGCAGCCCACCCATTGTGGCTGCACGGGTGTCACATCCACCGTCACTAGAGCCCATTTACCTTGCATCCTCCCTTTGCAGCTGCATCCGGCGAGTAGGGTATTCTTCCTTTTCTCGTTAGCACCACTGCTTCCAAGCCTCTGTTTTCCTTTTTGCTTTGTTCTTACTAACGAGTCAACTGCTACAGTACAGGCATTCTGAGCGGTGCTAGGTCGCTTCGTTTACGGGTCCACCGGTCTAGATATCCCTGGCCGTGCATCTAAACCATGCACTTGTCGACGCGGTGGCTCCTCGTGGCACCGCTGTACCTGTGATATCCACCCGATCCTTCAGTCCTCTTTTTGCTCAGGTACAATATCGACGTCTTACTGTACCATACTGCAACTACGAGAGGAACTAACGACAAGAGACGAGGGCGGCCCCCCTCCCCCCTTCCCTTGACCACGACCACGGCCACGGATCCTGGCTGCAGTCTTGTCAAATCCTTTCATCGCTCGTCCTCTTTGGGGTTCCTTCAATCTTCTTATTACTACGTACGGTATCCTCTCCCCTTCCCACGTCGTATTCGACCTACCTTTCCTGGCCCAATGTGCTGATCTTTTGCAACCAGCGCCGATCGCTCTCTTTTTCTGGGAGAGATTTTCTATTCAAGTTCATCTCACACGCCCTACATCCTGTCTCTTCACTGTCACTCCCTTGACTGGCAGTAAGACATTGAAGTTTACCCATCACGTCACTTCCCCCAGTCTCTATCCCCGCGAATCTATTATCCACTGGGGCCTTCTAGGATCCGAATTTGCGGACATAGATTTTGCGTTCCTTCCCCAGAGTCGCCGCCAGTCGTGAGTGCTGAGGGCTAAAGCAAATATGTCTTCTCATAACGACAGTGAGAAGGGGGCTGATATCGACGTTCGCGGTAACACTCCTTCTCACAGCGATGTTGATGTTCCCGAGGCCGGCATTGACGATGCCTGGAAGTTTCTCAATGAGCATCGCGATGCCGATGGCGTTGCCGCTATCAACATCGATTCTCTTCGCCGCAAGATCGATTTCCACATTGTCCCTCTGATGTTCCTATGTTACACCATGCAGTTTCTTGACAAGGTCATCCTGAATGTAAGTTTCGTACCTGCATAATACCGCCCCCACCCAGATCGATGGCTTGTGCTTTGATTTGGACGCCTTATCGTACGTCGTGACACGACAGGCTGACACTAACTAGTATGCCGCTGTGATGGGACTCACTACAGATCTGAATCTCAAGGGCAATGACTTTTCCAACGTGGCCACGTTCTGCTTCGTCGGTTTGCTATGCTTTGAAATTCCTAACAGTAAGTTGAGCTTCGTCCAAGCACAAACAGCTTGTCATTTTTTTTTCCTCTTTCCCTCCTTTGAGAATTAGCCAAATTGACTTGATATTTCAACAGCATACTTCCTTCAGGTGGTCCCAGCTGCCAAGTGGCTCGGACTCAATGTCACCCTCTGGGGTATTGCTACCGCCTGCGGTGCGGCTGCTCACAACTACCAGACGCTACTCGTGTCTCGCGTCTTCCTGGGCATTTTCGAAGCCACCATTGGACCTTCTCTGATGCTCATCAGCAGCCAGTGGTATACAAAGTCTGAGCAGGCTCCTCGCTTCTCTTTCTGGTATCTCGGCCTGGGCCTGGGACAGATTCTTGGTGGCGCCATTTCATATGGCTTCCAAAATGTCTCCATTGGTGCTTCATTGGCTGGCTGGCGCATCATGTTTGTTGTCTTGGGATGCGTCACTGTGGTCATCGGACTTTCAACCTTTTTCTTCTTGCCCGATACCCCCATGAAGGCTTCTTGGCTGTCGAGCAACGAGAAGGTTGCTCTGCTGAAGCATGTCAGCGTCAACCAAACTGGTATCCAAAGCCGCAAATTCCGGCCCAAGGAGATTGTTGAAGCCCTTCTTGATCCTCAAATCTACCTCTTGCTCCTGTCTGTTGTCTTGGTAAGTTGTCCTTTGGTATAAACTCTTATGCCTCGGCTCCTTTTGTTAACATTGAATTTTCTGTAGCTCTCTGTTTCCAGTGGTGTTGTTACCACTTACTCGGCTACCCTTATCAGGAACCTGGGTTATGCTCCTAAAAAGGCTGCTTTGATGAACATGCCCTCGGGTGTCGTCAGCATCTTTTTTACATTGCTAGTCGGCTTCGGCGTTCGAAAGCAGTCTCATCGATGGGCATGGATTATTGTCTGCATCATTCCTGCGTACGTTCTTAGCTCTAGACTGGGACAGTCGAGTGTGATTACTAACTCTTGGTAGTATCATTGGAGGCGCACTGATGTCTTTCCTCGACACGAAAACTCACCATGCCGGCGTTTTGGCAGGTATCTACCTCGTCAACGCAGTCGTCGCTCCTTTGACCCTCTTTTACGCCGTGAGTAACTCACCTAGCCCTTCAACCAGTACCTAGTCTATACTGCGATGATTAACAAACGGATATAGTGGACTGTTGCCAACGTCAGCGGTGCTACCAAGCGTGCCTTTGCTGCCGCCATTGTCAGCGGCTCATTCTCCTTGGGCAATATTATTGGCCCCCAGACCTTCCAGGCTCGCGATGCGCCTGACTTCCGACCTGCCAAGCTGGCAGTCATGGGCACGCAGGCTGGATGTGCCGCGACTACCTTTGTCCTCTTCCTGTACTATGTATGGTGCAATAAGAAACGCGGTGATAGCAGCAAGGATAACGAAGAACGCTTCATGTCTCCTGAGGTCTGGGCCACCATGACGGATAAGGAGAACAAGATGTTCCGATACTCATATTAAACTTGTACGCACTGGCATGAACCTTTAAAAACAGGCCAGCGAGATTCTTCTTTTTTTTTCTTTTGCATAAAACCTTTACCTATTTAATTACGATTTATAAACGAGGATCAAGCAACATTACTGCTGGGGGGTTTTTCACGTTGGACATACGATATGATACTTGTCTAGAGGTCTTCACTAGGATAATTTGGAAAATGAGGATGCGATTGCTTGTGTCTAGATGCCGAGTATATACTTAGATTCCTGCCTATAGCTTATGAATGATGAATAACCGTTCTCTACAAAACACTTTCTCAAACCTAGTATTTCTTGGACTGGATTACGGTGCCGCTTCTAGCAGCGTCAAGGGCCTCAATTACTCTGAGCTGCTCCGCGACACTTTGCTCTACCGAAATTTGCCCCTTGAGATCGGGCTCCATCTTTTGGAACTGTGACAACATCACATTGAGCGCCTCGACGACCTGGGGTGGCTTGGGACCTATTTTATTTCAATAGAATTAGCAAAAACGACCTTTTATATTACAAAAAAAAAGGGGGAGGGGGGGAATGAGAAGAGGCTCTTACCGTCCCAGGTATCCACCCAGCCGGGGCAGATGGCCACAGTCTTGATACCCTTGGGAGCAAGTTCCACGGCGTACTTTGCAATCTGGACATTCATGCCCGCCTTTGCAATGGAATAAGCCAAACCGTAGTCGAGGCCCGTGCCGAGGATGACGTCTGTATTAGCCATGCTGCTCGTGATGTGGGCAATCTTCTTGAGGTCGCCCTTTTCAATCAGCGGCAAAAACGCATTTGTCGCCCAGGCCGCGCCCCAGATGGCCGTGCGGACGGGCTCCTCGTAGAACTGCTTGGTGGCCTCGACGTCAAAGGGCACCTGCGTGGGCGTGTAGTTGAAAGTGGCCATGTCGACCGAGTTTGAGTTGTGGATGAAGACGTCGAGCTTGCCGTCGAGGATCTTGCTGGCCTCCTGGGCGGTGGCGAGGATGGACTGCGGGTCGGTGACGTTGCCGGTGATGATGTGGATGTTGGGGTGGGCTTTGGCGAGGGCGGCGAGGGGGGAGGAAGGGTCGTTGGAGCGGACGATGGCGAGGACGGTGTTGGAGGGGGATTGGACGGCGAGTTGGCGGACGAGTTCGCGGCCGAGGCCTTTGGAGGCGCCGGTGATGGCGTAGGAGGGCATTGTGAGAAGTTTTGGGGAAAGAGTTTTACTTGGTAAGTTGTTTGAGGTATAGAGTGTCTTGTGGTGTTGGTTGAGAAGTTGGTTGTGTTTGTAGCTTGGAAGGGCTCATCATGATCAAGGTGTTTTACTCTTATATATATATATATATATGCGTGTAAGTGAAGTCCTTGGAGGGGCCACTTTCGCTTCAGCCTTACGAATAAGGGGTCCATGATGACAAAAGATGCGATGGCATAATACATTATGGATGTTTGTGTGGATATTAGCTCATTGGCGATTACCAACCTGAGTTACCAAAGCATCCAGCATATAGACTAGGTAGATGGGAGGCAGAGCTGAATAACACGACGAGAGAATTCCACAGGGGAAACGGCCGAGCTAGAGTCTCTACAGCCGGTCTCCATTTTTCATAATGGTGCGATATACAAGCTGATATTGTCTTTTAGCGTGAGACTTTGACTTTGGTAATGATTTGCAAAGAATTCAAAGTATGTTCTATGATAAATCTTCTGGTGGATCTCGAGACGTTGATGAATCCTTTGTAAGAGGAACGGCCGATCCGGAATCTAGCGCCCGGTCCCAATTATTCATTGGCATATCCACCTCGATATACCTTAGCCAATCAACAACGGTCTTTGTCAGCACCAGAAACGGGTATTCAAACCCCAAGCGGCCGACGGGTCTCACTCAGACCGGCCGTTCCAACTTACACGGCCGCAACTCCACGAGACCGGGAGACGACGAATCATCTCCCCTATTCCTTTATTTTTGTTTAACGTTGTTTGAATCGAGAAAGTGGGAATGCCAGTTGTCAAGAGGAGAGCCTGCGTCACGTGCACAAATGCAAAATGCAAGTGCTCGCCGCAGTCTGAGAATTTGTGCCAGCGATGCGCCCGGCTCGGGAAGCAGTGCGTCTATCTAGACCTGCCGGAGAGGAAGAGGAAGCGCGGGAATGACGCAGATGGGTGAGACTTTCCTTGCCATTTAATTTTATTAGTGAAGCATGAAAAGTCGGATTAGCTAATTTACTTGTGCCTTTTGCCGTCTGCCGTCTATAGTGGCAGTAATAGTCGAGTTGTTGCGCTGGAGAATAGAGTCGAGGAACTCGTGGCACAACTCAATGCCATAAGAAACGGGGCCACTCAACATGCTCCCACATCCTCTTCTACAGATGGCTTGACTCCAAGCACAGGGGACTTGACGATTCCAGATGATCCGGAATTGCTGGACCCCGACTCCGAAGGCTATCATGGCCGTGAACCCCCAACGACATCCGTCCTGGAAGGTCTCCCCGACATTGTCGACCGCGGCTTTCTCAGCATCTCAGAAGCAGAGAATCTAGTCTCCCGATTCAAATCCCGCTTCGTGTGGACGTTCCCCTTCGTTGTGCTGGATCCCTCCCAAACCGTCGCGGATCTGCGCAAGGAGGAGCCGCTCCTCTTCCTCGCCGTCATCGCGGCCACCATCGCCAGCGCGCATCCCATCCGGAAACTCCTCGCGGATGAAATCATGCAGCACGTCACGTCGCGCATCGTGGCGAGCTCAGAGAGGAACTTGGGCCTCGTGCGGGCGCTGCTAGTGCTGTGCGCGTGGTATCGGTATCCTGCGCAAAAGGGCAACGTGCAGCTTGTGCTGCTGATTACGATGTGTGCGACGATGGTGCATGATTTGGGGCTGCATCGACTGAAGGCGGAGTTGACGACGGATCAGCAGAGAGCGCTGTTGGGGACGTATCTCGTTAGTTCGAGGTAAGAGGAAATGAAGGAAAAGTAGTTTAAGCTGGTGCTTGTTGCTAACACTCGTTGGTGTGCCATCTTATATAGTTTACCGAGGGTGATGAATCGCCCGTCTGGCATGGCAAACAGCAAGAAGATTGAGGAATGCTGCAACAACATGGCTGCATCGACCGAGTATCCCTCTGACAGATACATCCGGCCAATTATCCTCACCCAGTCTTTTATAAACACCATCGACGTCAACTTTGGTGAGCTCGGAGAGATAGCCTACGAAGAATCTCTAGTTAGAATCATGCTAGGGGCCAAGCTGCGGGAATTCGAGAGTCTGAAAGTCACTCTAGAGAATGACTTATCCAAATGTCCAAACCCACTCAGTATGCTGCAGTTCCAAGGAAACTTACAAGTGCCCTTATAACTAACTTGATGGTTTTTAGCCAGCATACACATTTGCAACATGCACTTCATCGACATCGCTATCCGAAGCATGTCCCTCGGCGATGAGCATGCCTGCTACCAGAATCGCCACGCTGCTGTTCCATCCTCCGCCTTTGAAGCGTTCAAGGTGTCCGCGTACAGATCGTCGCTCCTCTGGCATCTCATCCGCTACACCAAAGCCCTCATCCAGACCTATATTGAGATACCCGACGCCGAACTGCCCCAAATCACCGTCTTCACCCTCACCCAGATCTGCGCCTCTCTCGTGATCTTACCGAGATCCGTGTCTTTTCTCCTGAAGCTCATCGTCGCCAAACAAAGTCCTCACCATGGCGGTCGTACTTGGCCCGTCCGGGGCGAGACGTTGGATGAGGCGCGGGCAGTTGTCGAAGAAGCGGATTTCCTTAATCTTGTGGTGAGACTGTACGAGAGGCTGCGGGTGCTGATTGTTGGCCTTACGGCGCAGGAGATGGGATTGGATGTTGCTGGGACGTTGTGCTGTCATATGAATGTGCTGGCGAGCTGGTATGCGCCACGGGTGCAGGCGATCCTGGGCGTTGATCTGGTGGACAAGTATCCGTTGACGTCTATTACTCCCCATCCCGATGCTGTTGTCAACGGTACCAATACCGCCAACACCGCTAATAGTGGCAATAGCACTACTGCTTCGATTCCACCACTGGTTGATCAGAGCACAGAAAGGACCGGGGCGACATATCTGCAGCAAGGGTATCCTGGGGCTTATACGGGCGCCGAGGACGGCCTCAACTTGTTTAGCGATGAGATGTGGGCTTCTGTGCTGGACAGCTTTACTAATTTCGTGTAAATGATGAAGATACGGAGGTTTTCCATATATGTAAAGCGAAAGGAAATCAAGGGGAGTTTCATGTAATGCAAAGAACACAATCACAACAAGATTCAGAACGAAATATTTTAATAACACTTATTCAATTTAGCTATGTAGCAAATTTTCAAAAAAATGAAAACAGAGAATATAGATTTCAACGCCTATCCAATAATGACGATGCAGTTCCCAACATTAGATGAAATGGGATCATTAGAAAAAGAGAAAAAGAAAAAGAAAAGAGAAAAGAAAAAAGTCTAAATCGTATCCTCCTCTTCCACACGTCGTATTTTGTGTTTCCATTCTCATGAAAAGGCCGATAATACCCTGGATATAACGAATAATTGATTGTTCAAAAAAGTCAAACGCTTTCCCTTATCCTTGAGCTTAGTTTTTGGTGGATTTTCGTTTTTCTTTTTTGGACTCCTTTACACGCTGGGACCAGCGGCAATGACGTCCTCGGTAGCCTCGCTCTCGTACTTCTTAAAGTTCTCGTTGAAGAGCTGGCCCAGCTTGACAACCTCCTTGTGGAAGCTGTCGCTGCCGGCAGTCCAGGCCTTCTTGGGGTTCAACAGATCATCGGGAACGTTGGGGCATGCCTGGGGCACCTGCAGGTTGAAGACCTCGTAGTTCTCAAACTCGGCGTTGGCGAGCTCGCCGGAGTGGATGGCGTCGAGGATCGCGCGGGTGTACTTGAGGGGGCATCGCTTGCCGCCCTGGGCGAAGCCGGCGCCGACCCAGCCGGTGTTGAGCAGCCAGGCATTGGCCTTGTTCTGCTCAATCTTGTCGGCGAGCATGCGGGCGTACTTCATGGGGTGCAGGGCCAGGAAGGGCTGGGCGAAGCAGCTGGAGAAGGTGGCCTGGGGCTCGTTGACGCCGTCCTCGGTGCCGGCCATCTTGGAGGTGTAGCCGGAGATGAAGTGGAACATCGTCTGGGCGCTGTTGAGCTTGGAGATGGGCGGCAGGACTCCGCGGGCGTCGCATGTAAGGAGGATGATGTTGGAGGGCATGTTGTCGGTCAAGCAGGGGATCTTTGCGTTGGAGATGTACTCGATGGGGTAGGCGCAGCGAGTGTTCTCGGTGAGGGTGACGTCGTCGTAGTCGACCTCGCGGGTGACGGGGTCGAAGACGACGTTCTCGAGGATGGAGCCGTAGCGGATGGCGTTGTAGATATCGGGCTCCTTCTCGGCGGATAGGCCAATGCACTTGGCGTAGCAGCCGCCCTCGATGTTGAAGACGCCGCGGTCACTCCAGCAGTGCTCGTCGTCACCGATCAGGGCACGGTTGGGGTCAGCAGACAGGGTGGTCTTGCCGGTTCCAGACAGACCGAAGAAGAGCGTGACATCGCCGTTCTTGCCCTCGTTGGCGGATGAGTGCAGGGTCAGCACGTTGTGCTTGATGGGCATCTCGTAGAAGAGAACGGTGAAGATGCCCTTCTTCATCTCGCCGGCGTACTCGGTACCCAGGATGACCATCTCCTTGGCAGCGAAGTTGATGGCGACGGAGGTGGCAGAGGTCATGCCCTCGGTGTAACGGTTGGCGGGGAACTTGCCGGCGTTGTAGATGGTGTAGTCGGGGTGGAAGTGCTCGAGCTCCTCGCGAGGAGGGCGGATGAGCATGTTTCTCATGAAGAGGGCATGGTAGGCGCGAGCGCAGATGACGCGGACGCGGATTCTGTACTTTTCGTCCCAGCCAGCATAGCCGTCAATGACATAGATGCGGTTGCGGGTGTTGAGATAGTCGACAGCACGCTCTCGGTTGATTTTCCAGACCTATGAATTGACATTAGCATTGTAAACAGATAGACTCTTGATTTTGTCATTTTTGGTCTGTTCATCATCTTCTCATCATTGTCATTTGCAAGCACTTGATTCAACATTTCTGAGATGAGCGTCTTAGACACACATGCACACACAGGCACACACAGCAGAATCAAGCAGCCAATTGCCCGCTACAACAGCGTTGCCAGTGGCCTTGCTCAATGCCGAATCGAGAACTCGGCACTTGGCTTTGCCTCCAAGATCAGGCCGGAGCAAACCGGGTCGGAAATGAAGAGCAAAAGCACAAGCTTTCGAAGCAATCATCACAAGCCAATGCCGCGGGCAAAAGTCCCGGGCGGCCGCTTATGGTCGGCTACCCAAATTCGGCTTCGGCTGAGCGGGGCCCCGGCTTGGTAGGGATTCGTCCTTGGTCTTTTTCTGAGCCGTGACTTTTCGGGCAAATTGCAGCCTTTTTTCTGCGTATGTGTGTGTGTGCGGGGTGAGCAAGCTAGAGCTGCATCTTGGCCTTTTTTATTGGACACCTTCTCCGCATGCACTTCCGATTCGACCAGAGCAATAGCAGAGCAGTAGCTGCATGCTATGCTGTTGCTCCGGGGGCATTGGCTGGGAGTTTTTCTGTTTCCTCCAAACGGTGGCGGCGACGGCTGAGCAGCTGAATAGGAGGCGCCCCGCTCGCGTGACCATTGACCCAAAGCAAAAAAACACAGCAAATGCGGAAGAGGTGCAGGGATGGGGCGCGTTGGTAACGAAAACCCAAATGGGTAGATTCGGAACACGCAGAGAACAATGACGATGGACATGACGCTTGCAGCGACGATCAGGCACTATTACTTACATCTTGGCTCATGGGCTTGTTGACTGGTCCCCACCTGCAAGAAAAAAGAGGCCTTGGTTAGCCTGTGGAGCGCAAAACTGGATTGAATGTGTCAAGGACTTACCAGATGTTGTCTTGTGATGAAGGCTCCTGGACAATTCGCTTGTCGAGGGGAGATCGGCCGGTCTTTGCGCCGGAGTAGGCGGTCAGGGCACCGCTGGAGGTGATGGCAGTGCCGCTCTCGTAGACGAGGGCATCTTCGTAGAGGGCAGCGACGGAAGGATTGGCGACCTGGATTAATTGCTGGTCAGCGACTGATCACGTGGGATCAATTGCGAGCAAAAGACTTACAATGGCGACGCGGTCGTAGTCGATGTGGGCGACCTCGTGGAGTTCCTCCTCTGAAAAGAAAATGTTAATGCTGAAAAAGAAAAAAGAAAAGAGAAAACCTGGGTGCTGTGCTTGCTCGCCGTGCTCAATGCAAGGTGAGCTGGATCAGGGCAAAAGGTGTAGACATACCGAGCTCGGTGTGCTCGCGGTAGGGCCTGCGCAATTGGTGTTAGTCACTTATACGACGCCAACAGCAAGATGAAAGGCATCAGGAAGCAAACTTACTGGACACCGCCAGGGTGCAGAGCAGTCTTGTTAACGTTGCTTGAAATCACTGTTCATATTGTTAGCCTCCCAAGTCTAAACAGATTCCAACTCTGTCGTCATGGCCATTCTGAGGGCAAAAGACTTACTCTTGCGTAAATCTATTCCCGAGGCCTGGATCTGTGACTTGGGACCTTTGACGGTAGGATCAGTGTATGGAGAGGCGGTTCTGAAGACGGGATCCATTGGATAGTTATATATTCCGGGAAGCAAAAGAGGATGTTCGTTTGGATGGATTTTTATTTTCGTCGCTTCCTTTTCAGCTGCTAGCAAGACCAGGGGAGGGGGTGGCGTGTGGAGGATGACGGCGGGTTTGCTTCTCCAGAGTGGGAACCCGGGATCAGGATCAGGTACAGAATGTACTTTTTTTTTCTCGTCTAGCAGATCAGAAGGACAGAAAAGTTAGCCCTGCGATCGAACAGTCCCGAAGCCGTTCCAGGCCGGGGCCTTGTTTGTGGAGCCGTGGCGGGCGGTGCGAAGCTTCACAGGGCCCGGGGCACGAATATATGTCGGAACCGAAAAGGTAAAGCAAGGACGTTTGGGCTTTGGTTTGATAGGGAAGAGCAAAGCAAGGGGGGTGCAAGCCGAAAAAGAATAGAAAGGAAAACTAAGACCAACAACCGAAGCGTGCTTGAGTGTGGAGTATGAGAGGAAGAGGAAGGGAAATAGGGGGGCGTGTGAGTCTTTGTGTAGGTGCTACAACGGGATATCAAGGCAGCACGTAAAGTAGCATGTATTGAATACCCCGTATTTAGAAAGAGATGTGAGAAAAGACGATGCTGTCTCTGTGCTGTAGCACGCTTGGTATCGTCTGCGCTCGGCTCAAGACCAAACGAGGAAAGGGAGGCAGCCGATTGTTTTCGAGCAAGGTCCCTTTTGAACCTTTCTTTTTCTTCTTTTTCTCTTGGCTGCAGGGCAAGGGGGCGTGTGATTGTACGAAAATGAGGAAAATAAGGAATCGATAAATTAATTAGAGGTGAACTCACAATAAAGCAGTTTAGTGCGGCAGGAGGAAACCGTAATGAGTAATGATGCCTTGATGACGGCACAAGCTGCAAAAGTTCTATAGTATTGGGAAAGTAGAAAAGCTTTTTCTTATTTTGATGCTAGCAAAAGAAGGCTGGTTCTATCTTCAATCCAAGAAGGAGGAAAGAGGAAAAGCAGCTGTATTTAAATCTCGATTTCCGCATCGCTTGTCATCTTTCAAAAAGAACTGCCGCGATGTGCGAATATGCTTTTCCTTGCTGTAAACGAATCACACGTGCAGTCAATCATAGGCGGGCAACGCAAAAACCGGATCTGGGAATGTCGCCAAAAGAAGGTGACAGCCCCGACTCCCGGCTCTTTCTCTTTAGTTTTGCTTGAAAACAGACATGAGCGTTTCGTTTTCCCTTTTCTTCCAACGCGGACTATTCCGATGCCCATGCAGTGCCCTTTGTACTTACATCCACAGGCTTTTGCCGGCGCCGCGACTTACGGCGGGGCGATTACGTACGGAATGGACGACTGCGGTGGTGCTTTGCCTAACTGGGCAATTTATGACTTGGGGCTGGGCGATTGCTGGAGCTTGAGGTGGCGATATGGTTTTTTTTCTGCGTTACCCCGTACTTTTTTTTACGAAAAGCTGCCTACTGGTACATTGCTATGGGACCTGGAATGGGTAATGATCTTGTAATAGGGCTCCATTGCTCCATATTGCGGCCACATAGCACACATCGTAGCAGGTAATGACG